GCCTCATAGATGGTTGTATTTGAGATACGAAACAATATGTTAAGTTATAGTTCGTATGTTTTCTTATTGAGTGAGGGGGAATGTGGAAGAGCTCGTCTGTAAATGAAGCAAGGTCAAGTTGGTGTTGTTGGTTTGGCTATAGCTATGGAAAGGAGGAAATGGCGCTCACTTGTTGATGCCTTGTGTGAAAATAAGCACTAAGCGATGATTATGATGACGATGATGGTGATGGTGATGATGGTGATGGTGATGGTGATGATGAGGATGAGGATGATGATAGTGATAATGATGATGACGATGATGATGGTGATGATGGTGATGATGATGGTGATGGTGATGATGATAATGATGATGATGATGATGATGATAATCATGATGATGATGATTATGATGAATCATCTAGAATCACCTGTGTACATATTAATAAGAACTGATTGGTATGGGCTGTATACATTCTGTATAATATCTAGCAAACTTATCAGGATTACTGCTGAACTAAAAGTATTATATTATTCTCGATTATAGAATGCCCTGTAACAGATTTTCTGTTGTGTCCTTTAATTACATTCCTGTCCTTTGTGTCACCTATCTTTATTGCTTTGTCAAGGAAATTATATTTGCGAAATGCCACACCCAAACAGCCGCCAACACAGTACATACAAGTGTAAGACGCCCACACAGAGATACTTAAAACTGCAAGAGCTTTTAAAAATTCAATTTTAAATTTTTTTTCTTCATTCTTCAATTTAACTTTAAAAGTGAATCACATCAATTACTCCAACAATATGCAATATTAGGGCAATTGACTCCTACTTATGCTTTACTTTCTGGATTTGTACTCACAGCCTTTCAAAGGAAGTAGTTGTCTGATTTTAGACTTTTAATTCTTAAAGGCGTAGCAGCAGTCCCATATGACAACCCTAATTGCCCGGAGTAAGAACTTGGGACTTTAGGGATTAAAACCATACGCTTTCTCGCTTGACCACAGCCGCATCTCTTTCAAACAGGCCCTTACTGTACCTTGTACAGAAATCCATATCAATATTAAACTCAGCGTTTAATATGTTTTGCAAAGCGTGGGATGGATTAGTAGCTGACTATTCTATTATACCGAGACAAATTATTAAGCACGAACCGACCCGCGGCGTACCATATGTTGCTATTTTGTTGTTTTATTTTCTACTTTTCATAGTTTGTGAATTCGATAGTACCAATGCTGCCACTGAAAATATATGCTTTAAAACACTATCAGTAGGTCGTTAAGGACGATACCCCCACCCTCCTTTCCCCCAAACCCTACCCTACAACCCCCCCCCCAGAAAGCAGCCTCCTCTTAGTTACCTCCCCTAAGTTTAAAATCGTTTCAACTTAAATTATCCGCCCCTAATAGCCGTCACTAAACCCGGCTCTATGTTTATAAACATTTAATCACGAACCACAGCTCACCAGACCATGTTTGTGGTGGGGGTGGTAGGGATATGCCTAGAGAGGAAGATAGGGGGCTGCTAGGCGCGCTTACAGCTTGGTGTTTTCTATAGTCTCCATGACGATATATATATATATATATATATATATATATATATATATATATATATATATATATATATATATATATATTAACAGTTAAGGCTCCTTAGCTGGGGACGTAAAGGTAAAATAAAAAAAAGAAGTAAAGTTCCCTTCCGAACTTTACGGGTCTATCTAGTGTTCACTTGCTTCTGTGACCTCGGAATATGAGTTACGTACCCATCAGAGTTGGTGGACTCAAGTCGGTCTACTGACTTGAACCCGGGTTCGGACTCAAGACTTACGGGCTAGCAGTACAGCTTTCTACCGCTAGACCACTCCGTCCCTTTAGAGGTAAAAAGTTTTGAAATCATACTGCTGACCATGAGTGATGCCCCTTATTCGATAGAATAACTAACTCTGCTTCACTTTGACAGCTTCCGAAATACAGATACATATTCATCAAAATCCCCTTTTAATTAAGTGCGATCGTGTGATACTAGATTATAGATGATTAAATTTAAACAAAAACCCCAATGCAACCTTAAAAACTGGCTAACAATCTAGATGTAGAAAGATATGCAACAGATGCATTTTTAATTAAATTCCTTTCTTTTATATTCTGTATCTTTATAGCTTTATCGGGGAAACGAAATATTTATTACTGAACACGTATTGCAAACACGTACACGTAAAGACACACACAATCACACACAATTAAATACACGACACCCTGTGACTTAAACCCACACACATTCCTGCACAACGTGTTTTCACGAAAAGCAACGTTTTCTCCTTATAGACCTACACTGTAGCACTCTAAACTTTGTATCTAAACTCCAAATAAAACTTAATGTCTAAACTCTAACATATATCTGAAACCATTCTCCAATGCAAACTCTAACTTTAAAACAACGTGCTCTCCTTTAAAATATATTAAACCGAACGATTAAACGAACCATTATGTCGCTAAAACTAGCTACAAATATTAATTCATTTTGTACTTAGCCAAGTGTATATACAAAAATCGAATCTCATTTCATATTTACACACCACCATTTCATAACCTAGCATTCAAAGCCACACCCAATAAACTCATATGAACACAAGTTTAATTATATTACAAACATAATTAAAAATAGTCCTATAAACTTATTATTAAAACAAGTATCAATCGCCTTCCTAGTTTCGATCTACCTCAACAGGGCCCCAATATTGTCTACAAATATATCTGTGGAAATAGAATGACCATACCTGACCTTAAAAGTATTATAATACTTGAGGCTAAATGCAAATCAACACTTACCTAGGCCGATTTATAAAAAAAAAAAAAAACTGGCATTATATATAAAATGCAGACTACCCTTTACTGTTTAAATTTACTATTAAATTAAACTAAGAAGCTTGACCATTGTTTTAAATACCACTTTTGAAAATGTTTACCTAATCATTTTCTAAGCTGTTATCACCCCCTTTGAAACATATTAAATTTCTTAAGTTTAGCTTTAATTAATACATTGTGTGTGTAATTGAGTCGTTAATGATATGTCCTTTTCTGAGTGTATATACTTTTTGATTTTCTTTTAAAAACACCTATTTCGACAGAGCAAGGGTCTGACCACACTATCCCTTCATATGCTGAAAAGACAGAAACAGGTGAAGTCTACTTATTGTGGGTTCCACACGATGACTAAGTTTGGCATAGTCACTAGTTGATTTTTTGTGGTTGTCTTAGATAGTAATTAGTATATTTTAGGTTGCTTTAAAATTAATGTGTGTGATGTTTCTTGCAATCAATCTTTGCCCTGAAAGTAATAAAAAAAACCATGGTACGTATTAATGTATAGTCCTATTCATTTGACGACGCTGTCATTTTACTCTTCTGTTATTATACATAATTTAAATTCCACTCATATCCTACGGCGTATGCGTTACCGTTCAACCACACCGTCCACTATCCTACTAGTGTCGATATATTATGTTAAAAAGAGCCACAACCTCTTTAGTTTACCATCCCCCCATCTGAGTCAGGTATCCAAGCTAAATCGATTTATTTAGGATTCGATACCTTAGTGCTTATTTTCACACAAGGCATCAACAAGCGTGCGTCATTTCCTCACGTCCCTAGCTATAGGGCTGGTAAGTAGGTCACCAACCAGTTCTTTGGCTCATACAATTTTTATTCAGCCGTAGAACTGGTTGATGACCTACTTACCAGCCCTATATCCGATATATCTATGAATGTTAGGCCTCTCTCCTTCAACTCTTTCTCATTGATCTTCTCCATGTTTCTTTTGGCCGTCCTTGTTTTCTCTTACCTTATGTTGTTCATCTGAGAGCAGTCCTAGCCAATGCGTCTGCTCTCATTCTTTGCAGTTGGTCCAACCATCTTCATGTTCTTCGCTAGATAAATCGGCTCAAAATAAGTTAATAGTAAGAAAACGATACATCGGCTAAATATACATTTATACTACGGAGTTTACAGTCCGAATGCAATAAATCCATACACCCAGATATTTTTTTTAAAAAGTAGTAAGATGTCCTTTGGACAGAGGTGTAGCGAGGGAAGGTGGCGGGGGTGCTGACCGCAACGGGTGACACCATTTAGGGGGTGACACCAAGGCAAAAAATAGCAATTAATAAAAAGAGAAAATTAATAATTTCACGTAATTATATGATTAATTAGAGTAAATTGAATAGTCTTTTAAGAGCAAAGTTGACAAATCCCGACACAGGTGTAGAGAGGGGAGGGGTGGTGACACCATGACGTAAACCTGCTAATGATAAAGAAAACATGCAACACCCAGCTGTATTTATAAACGAATATAGATAAAAAAACGTTAGTATTATCTGAGCACAGTTTAAAGCAATCACCGTGTGGGTAACGGGGGAAGGAGGGGGGGGGGGGGGGGTGACACCATTAGGTGCGCACCGGCTGACACCCGAACTCGCTGCGCCACTGCCTTGGGGCAAAATTAAAATTAAATTAAATTAAATATCGGCGTATGAAGGGATATTATCGTGAGTTCTATAGGCCGACCCAGTAACATTTAGCTTCCCTAACTTAAGATAAAGTTTCAAAGCCCCCCACCCCCCCCCCAAAGAAAGTCTAGCCCCTGATCGAAATGGAATTAATATAGAACATAGAAAACTTACTTTTACCAACGTGTCCCGTCCTTGCCCCACCCCCGCCCACCGAAACACTGGGGGCTCTTAAGAGGTGAATGGACATGATGAAATATGGAATCTTGCCTTGGGACGAAATTTCGTTTATCTAAATTAACATTACGAAAGCTGCATGCATTTATATAACAATCTAATAGCTATTCCAATAGCGTAAACATTTATTACACATTATTGGGGGGGGGGGGGGGTGACACCTCATCGGGTGTAAACCGACCTAGCGACGCCACTGCCCTTATGTTTAATTACAGACAGCCTGTGGGTAGTTTAGTGAACAAATACGGTATATATACCATCGCGCTTTTATTACATATGTCTAAACACTGTGTGTAAGCTATCATCTCTGTATGCAAACAGCCTTCGATCACACTTCTACAATACACGAGAATCACGAGTAGACCAGAATCAATTCTTCTCAACATGTCCGTGTTGTTCAAATTTTGCGTGGCATGCATCGCTTCTGTCGTCCTTGCAGGTAAGAGACATTTCCATTTATGACATGTTTGATAAACTTCTCTTTGTGACGCGTCTTTAATTGACGTCATTTCAGCTACACGTAACTTGATGAGAGGTTGTTGTATTACTTTAGTAATCATAAAATGTAATGATACCTTATTAGATCTAGATTGGGCAGTTGAAGTAGAGGTTACACGCAGGCTAGCACTATGCCCAGCCGACTTTATTTTCTCTAAGGTGTGTAAGGTACTTATCAGAGCTGGGTGGACTCAGGAACGTTCCTTTGACTTGAACCCAGATTTGAACTCGAGGTGTTTGAGTTAGCTCTATCGCTAGGCCGCGCCGTCCCATGTTATTTTAGTAACATTTTCAAGTGATAATATTCGGCAAAAAAAAAATAATAAGACCATTTCTGTGGATTGACGTCATTTTACGGGGGGGGGGGGGTCTGGCTTTTTGTGACGTCATTTATGGATGACCCCTTTCGGTATCAATGTCACTTTTTTTATACTTTCGCTCGTTTATTTTCTGAAAATATTTTGTAAATAAACATACAAATGTGTTTGTGTGTATATGTGTCCTTGTGTTTGTGTGTCTGTGAGTGAATCTGTGTGATTGTGTGTCGGTGAGTCTGTGTGCGAATCTGTGTGTTTGTGTGTCTGTGAGTTTGTGTATTGGTGAGTCTGTGTGTGGGAATGTGTGTGTCTGTGTTTCTGTTTTTTTTTGTGTCTGTGTGTCTTTGAACACGATAACTTTATATGAGTTTAAGTTTTGTTAACGAAATTTCATACATCAGATTTCTGTTTCCCTGTTACCTTTTTCAGCAATTTCTCAAATGGCAATACCTTAAATACCACTTTTTATCTTAATGAAAGCTTGTTTATCTATGATCATTTGTTGACATCTCTATTTTATTTTAGGCAAACAAAATGAAGTGCCTAAAAACAATTGCGAGAAAGAAGCTGATTGTTTTTTTAAAAACGTAACACTGTACACTCTAGACCCTTCGAAATTTGACAGCAGAAAATATGAGAAAACATGCGGGTGAGTAAAAATTCTTCAACGACATAGTCGGGACATTTTCATTATTTATTACTTCAAGCGTAGATCATTATTTTAATTCTATAACGTGTGAAATTATGTTACCATATAAACGTCGTCAAGTCGTAAACAGCTAACCCAAGATAGTAAAATAGTTATTGGTAAGGTTAACACTGATCAAATGTCGAGATACTCTATACCAGTGGTTCTTTACCTGGGTTCGATCGAACCCCAGGGGATATGCCAGTCAATGTCAAAGGTGTAGGCGGAGGTGAAGACACACCAGATACATGTGAATGGCGGTAGGATTTTGTCGGTGCGAACTATTAATAATGGTTCGGCAAATGCTAATATAAAAATGGTAGGGTTCGGTACCTGCCAAAAACAAAATTAAGAACCACTAATCTATTTAAAAACAAGTTAATAAAAAGTCTAGTGACAATTTAAGCGCAATTTCCTTATGTTATCTAAAAATAGATAGACGTATAATACTGGGGTGCATTCAAGCTAGGAGAACAATCGGTTTTTAGGTGTTTATGTAATTTAAAAAATTTTTTGTGACCGAACGAAAAGATATTTTGAAAACTTTCTTCGGCAATATTGTTCTAAATTATGGCAGGAATCGATTGGTAAATGTTTCAAGTCGCTAAGTGGTCTGGTTGCCGAGATATTGGCCAAAGACTGCATTTTTCGAGTTTTTTTTGGCTGGAATTTTTTTTGGCCCACAATCATCCTCGGAACTTGCTTAAAATATTTGCTTTTGGAAGTAGTCCTCGATATTGCTTCGTTGAGGAGGAGATACGACTTAAATCTGCGCACATCCATCCATCCAGAAATGACGAGTTAATAATCGCAATTGACCAGTATGGAAATTGCGCTAAAAAGATGTCGAATATGTCTATATTCTAAGAGTACTTCTATACTAATTCGATGACTTATAGTAATCTGTCAATTAAACGAGTATACTAATATGCTAACCATATGCTTATACATTGCATTGTCAGTTAATTAAGTCAGCCAAATAGAAAAAAAAATTCAAGTTCATCTCTTCAACGCCACCTACCGAAAAAACAAAAGTGACTGAAGTGACCTATTGTTCTATAAGCGTTTACATTAAAACAAATGAAAAGTTGATAACAGTATCAATTAAAACATTCCGGAATCGTAGACTACAATTCTGCTATAGCAGATAAAATAGAGGTAGATAAGGGAAATAGTCGAAAAGTGGTCAAACCAGAAGTAAGGTACTAATAAATATAAGGCAATGATACACCTTTCATCCGATCGACATGAAACTGGGAAGTTCTTGATAATATTCCAAGAGGGAGATTTTTTTGCGAAAAAAAAGATTTTCAAATTCTCAGGGTTGTCAAACAGGTAGGGCTCGATTTTGAATTACGGAACATAAAAGTCAAATGGGGTGTGACACCGTTTATCCGATCGCCATGAAACTTTGGGGAGTTGATTAGAACACTTTACGGAAGGATACAGGAAAAAAAATTCAATTGCATATACAAGTATTATATCAAATGTTTTAGTTTTTTGTCAACTTTTCAGCTATTTCCGATAATCGGAATCGGGACTTATTCTATGTTTAGATTTTCAAAAGTCTAAACTTGAGTACTGTTTAAGATAGATAAATGAAATTTCCTAGAGGTAAAAGATCTAATTTTCTGCCTTCTGTCAAATTTTGATTAGTAATTTACGCTATTTCCAATTTCTCATAAACGATTATGAATGTATAAAGTACTAATAATATTCCGCACTATTTTACACATATTGTTTGGCGTTCACTTGGTGCGCAATTCCTCTTTTACGAGATTATATTATATCTAAAAAGTTTGAGTAATTAAAAGTTAATTGAAAAAGATGTTGGTATCCCGAGTTGCCTGCCCCCGTAGTGTTATATAAGAATATTTTAGAAAGTTTAGGTTTATTTATCTTATATATATATATATTTATCTTTAATATTGTTTATTTTATGGTTATTCATGTGATTACTTCAAGCGCACAAGATAATTTGAAAACGTGTTTGAAAAATATAAAAAACAAATGTAAGACCAAAGAATGGCAAGACAAGGTGGTTAAATTGAATGTAACAGAAACTTTCGTAATTGACCTTTGCAGTGAATCTGGAAATGTAGGTAAGCATATCTAAGGAAAAAAACATATTCTTATGGGTCTAATACACTGCACACGACATCAACACCTACCCTGCAGTTGCATCTTCGCATGTGTCTGCGCCTGCACCTGCACTTGATTATGCTATTGCACCTACACCTACACCTACACCTACACCTACACCTACACCTACACCTACACCTACACCTACACCTACACCTACACCTACACCTACACCTACACCTACACCTACACCTACACCTACACCTACACCTACACCTACACCTACACCTACACCTACACCTACACCTACACCTACACCTACACCTACACCTACACCTACACCTACACCTACACCTACACCTACACCTACACCTACACCTACACCTACACCTACACCTACACCTACACCTACACCTACACCTACACCTACACCTACACAGTACACCTACACAGTACACCTACACAGTACACCTACACCTACACCTACACCTACACCTACACCTACACCTACACCTACACCTACACCTACACCTACACCTACACCTACACCTACACCTACACCTACACCTACACCTACACCTACACCTACACCTACACCTACACCTACACCTACACCTACACCTACACCTACACCTACACCTACACCTACACCTACACCTACACCTACACCTACACCTACACAAGCTACTGCACATGCACATGCTCCTACACCAACACCAACTCCTACAACTACACCTATATAAAAAATAATGTATGTTTAATACATTGCATTATGACTTTCATAGCATCTAATTTCCCCAGCTATTTGGGAACTGTATGAGAATAATAAAAATTGCTTGAAAGGTGCTCATGTTCCGTCTATCTTACATAATTGCACTACAGAACTAAATACGTGCTTTAGATCAGAACAGTCATATTCACTTAGGTAAGACTTAATTAAAAACTACTTACTTGAAAAATATACATAGAGGGGGGGGGCATATGTCCCCGGGTGCCGACCACCAAAGTGGGTTGGAAAAAAATTTGCGGGGTGGGGATGGAAATCGAAAGTTTTAGGGCGGTGGGTGCAAATCGAAAGTTTGAGCGGAGTGCAAATCAAAAGTTTGAGCGGGGGGGGGGGGGGGAAATTTCAAATCAAAAGTGGTGCAAATCGAAAGTCTGACAGGCGTGCAAGCACGGGTATACGCGCAGCGCACTGCGCTGAAAGAATGATTCACCGTGGCGGAGCACGGGTGTGCAGCTAGTATACATATAATTGTGTATATTAAGTTTATATAATATATGCCCTATATGGAGGTGTATATATATATACGTTTTTATATTTTTGTTTCTAAATTATGTATTTATTTATATATTTATTTGTGTAATTATTTATTCGTTTATGCATTTACTTGTTTTCTTGGTTCTTTATTTATCTACCCTAGTAACCTATTTCAGGTTTAATCCCTACCTCAGTGTAACTATGACTCTTTCTTTTATAGGTGCTATCAAAGATTCAAATACTGTGTTGCAGATTCTGTATGGGCAAAGTGTGGTCTCAGACCTGCCACCTTTTTTGGGGATATGAACTCAATATATTTAATGAGCGCTAAAATTAACTCAGTATATCCAAATGGTACATCAAATTGAGTTATGGGAAACAGTGTTTGCTATTTTCCCTCAATAAAATCCTGCAAACTGTATTGAACGTTTTGTTAATAATCTTTACGTGTTCGGTTATGAATGCTTATAAAAAAAACGTTTTAAATAGTTTTTTATTCGTTTTAAATTCGTTTTTATTATATCAAAATAAAATTTACTAATATAGGGTTAATAATTTTATTTAAATACCTGAAAAGTAATACAAAATCAAAATACCAATCGAAACCAATAGTTTCGGTTTTAGCGAAGTACACATGTGCTTTAGAAAAGTAGAAAAGAGAATATTAAACAATGACACAATATAATTAGCAAAGATATACAATCAAAGTGTTGATAAAATAGTGTTGCAATTTAAAGCCTGCTGCATTTATAATGTGTCAATAACAAATAGCAAGCAGAACGACACCCGGGTTACACACTGTAAAATAGCACGATATTTATGTTCAAATCATTCGACAAATATAAATAAAACAAAGATATGCCAAAACAAATAGACATTGGCCTAATAGCAATAAAAAACAATAATTTATTTTAATAAATTAACAGTTAGAAGTCTTGAGTTAATTTGTCCTGAGATCAATTTTCCTTGAGATATTGTATCGGAGAATATTTTATCTGAGATAGTTTGTCATGATCTCAAATTTCCGTGAGATATTTTGTCTTAGAATATTTGTCCTGAGTTCAGTTGTCATCTGTAACGTATGCAGGGGTGGGGGGGTGGGGTGGTAGGGGGAGCGGGGAGAACAGCTCCCCGCTCCCCCTACGTCCATTTTAATAAAAGTGGCATCTTTTCTGAGTTTGATATAGTACAAATTTTAAACAAGTTTCATAAAAAATTAATTCAAACAAAGCGGAAAACAGACCCACGTAACAGAATGTGCAAATTAAATATTGTCATGTTATGACTCATCGCAAGTAAACGTGTTTGCTTACTTCTCGACACCTAGCTCCAGGGGGGGCGCCAAATTGAAAGTTTGAGGGGGGGTGCAATTCGAAAGTTTGAGGGGGGGGGGGGGGTGCAAATGAAAAGTTCGAGGGGGGGGGGCGGGTGCAAATCGAAAGTTTGTCCCCGGGCGCCGGGAAGGGTCGCTACGCCTCTGCCTAGCTCAGCGCCATGCAAGAGCAAGCCGCACAATGTCAATCCACTTCAACAACCACCGACGGATTGATCAGAATTTACTACTGTAGCACTTGGCACACTCAATTCAAATACATCTCTTATATGGAAGGACTACTATCGTTGAGTCTTAAGATCAATCTAGAGACGTTGGTTAATTGTCACGTAAAAGGTGTCCTTCAGAGTATTTATTTGGATAGTGTTTACAAACTATATGCAATTATTTGGGGTGGGGGCGGGGGAAGTGAGATCAATAAGGTGATCTAACCCTTACCTTATTATTATGCTAAACAGTAATTTTAGAAAAAATATATAGTAACTCATTAAAAAATGTAATGATTTGAAGGGGAACAACTAACTATAGTTTGACAAAATGGCAGCTAGTTATGTACTTAAATATCAGATGCAAGACTTGGAAAGCATGACAAATAACGATAGGTACACTGTACCATTTGAAACCGGACAGTCCATGGGGCATGTGGAATAGAGTTCACCTTTTTCAGTGAATTAGGCATATGAAGAAATAGTGTGGTCAGCGCTAAAACCAACCGCCTTTACATTCCCTAACGACAGTCATGTACACTTCAGAGCTGAGAGTACACTGAGTACACGCTTTTGTCATCATAAGGATGTAATTATATAACTGCTGATATTACCACGATACTTTATCGGGTGATTTGATCTATCCGTAGTTTTTGCACATTAATACTAAATAATGTCGTAGTCATCTCCATAAACCTGCACCTAAGCTCAAATTTAACCAAAGTTTCTTTCAAAGTTTCTGTCAAGCAAGCCCCCCCACCCCCCACTTCCCCTGAAGAACGTTTACAGCATCCTTGAACGAAATAGAACTGGTATAAAAAATACGGTTTTATGAAAAATTCCGAGAAACACGTGCCCGAAAGCGAGAAATCTGACAATCTAACAACTGGAGCGAGATAATGTGTCTGTCTCTATCACACACACACACACACACACACACACACATATATATATATATATATATATATATATATATATATATATATATATATATATATAATTAAACAGTCCCTTCATTGGCAAGCCACTATACTTGTCTTTTGTAGACTTTTAAAAATATATTTCATACTGTGAGTAGAAAGGTTTTTTAAGGAGCTAATATGGTTTAACCCCCCCCCCTCCCAATATATATCTAGCACGAAGTGATTATATGAAAACTGTCAGACAGGTAATCCCCTAGGTAAAGCTTATAAACCGCTTCCTCCATGGTGAAGACAGAAGTGAAACAAGTGTATGTTAAATAACGAGGTGAAAAGAAATGTTAGTTTTCTCCGTCGTAGAGAGTTGAAGCTTCCACTTATCTGATGTAGAGAGGTAAATCGTCCTTCAATAAACCTACAGGTTAATTTACCGCTCTGGTTGCTCTGGAGACGCAACTCTTCCTCCAATCTGGAGTCCCTAGAGAGGTAAATCTTCCTCTAGTCTTACGGACTTAGAGAGGTAATTTCAATGAGAAATTAATCTGGATTCCCTAGAGAGGTAAAAGTTCCTCTAATCAGTTATCTAATTTAACACATGGGACAGAAAGACGTCCATGTGTCAATTTTAACTCATATTTTTTTTTCTCATGAATTATTTTAAAATGTGATTATTTTGACAAATAGGATTTGATTGTAATGTTTGTTAACTTTATATATTGTGTTAAAAAATTGATTATATGGCCTATTGTAATGTAATTTAGATATATGTTTATGTTATTCTTTTGTTTAGCTGGAGTTAAATGTCAAAATATTTGTTGCTCAAGTGATAGTTATTGTAAGTTTTAAAGGAATGTAATAAATTATTCGAAACATGAAACAAGATAGATTAAGTTCCCCATGTGCGTGTGTATGTGTATATGTGTGTATGTGTGTGTGTGTGTGTGTGTTTGTGTGCGTGTGTGTTTGATTCGAATACATTCCATTTTTTATTGAGCTAGATCAAGGCATGTAATACAACAGAATTTAATTAAAAATGTAACCGAACAAAAGGCACGCGCCTTTCACAATCCAGAACAACACAATAAATGAAACTGGAATACTTTAAATTACATTTTTCTCAACCCCAGTGCTAGACAGACATACAACAGTGTTAGACAGACATACAACGGCGGTAGATTGAAATACCGCGTAATATAGTGGTGGATGATAATCTTCCAAATCCATCGTAGTTTTTTTTATCTAAAGGACAAAGTATTTTGACATTTTTTTTCTAGGACCTCCTCATTAGTCATATGATTTTTGTATGATAAAAAAGATAATGAAGATGATGTAGATATTGAAGAAGATGAAGATTATGAAGATGACGAACTTTTTGAAGATGATGAAGATAAAGATGGAGATGAAGATGGGGAAGATAAAGAAGATGATGAAGATGATGTAGGTGATGACGAAGATGTAGATGCTGATAAAGGCACAGCTTATGAAGATGATTAAGATGATGAAGATGATGATGAACATCACGAGCATGATGAAGATGAGGATGACGAAGAAGATTATAAAACTAATGAAGATGATGAAGATTATGAAGATGATGCAGATGATGAAGATGATGAAGATGATGAAGATGATGAAGATGATGAAGATTATGAAGATGATGAAGATGATGAAGATGATGAAGAAAAAGATAAAGATGATAAAGATGAGGATTATGAGAAGATGATGAATCTGATGAAGATGATAAAGATGATGAAGATGATGAAGATGAGGATAACAAAAAGATGATGAAGATGATGATGATGATGAAGATGATGAAGATAATGATGAAGAGAATGAAGATCTTCTAAGTGAGTCTAGTGGACGCTAAAATACCACATGATGATTTGTTATGATGATTCATCTGGACTCAACTGTGTACATATTAATAAGAAGTAATTGGTATGGGCTGATTACATTCCGTTTCATATCTAGCAAACTTATCAGGATTATAGTTGAATTGAAATGTATTATATTATTCTCGATTATGGAATGCACTGTAACAGATTTTCTGTTGTGTTCTTAATTACATTCCTGTCCTGTGTGTCACCTATCTTTATTGCTTTGTCAAGGAAATTATATTTGCGAAATGCCACACCCAAACAGCCGCCAACACAGTACATACACGTGTAAGACGCCCACACAGAGATACTTAAAACTGCAAGAGCTTTGAATTGAATCATATCAATTACTCCAAACCAATTGTTATGCAACATTCGGGTTCCCCTCTTGACATATTCTTCATCCTGATTTATTTTCTGCATTTGTACCCACAGCCTTTCCAAGGAAAAAGTTGTCTGATTTAAAAGTTTTAATTCTTAAATGCGTATCAGTCCCCCATCTAACAACCTTAATTTGCCCGGAGTACGAAATTGGGACTTTTCAAATTAAAACCATACGCTTTCTCGTCTGAATACAGCCGTATGTCTTTCAAACAGGCCCTTACTGTACCTTGTACAGAAATCCATATCAATATTAATCAGCGTAAACTCCGCACTACACAAAAGCCAGCTTTAGCATTTTATTATCTTGTTTGTAAAGTCTTTGTTAACCAGAGCTAATTATATATATATGTAAATCTTATCACAAAAGCATTCCGGATCTAAACGAGAATCCCTACATATAATTTGCAATCTAATTATACATTCAGTAATCCTTTAAAAATATTTTCTTTTATTCATTTGGTTTAATATGTTTTGCAAGGCGTGGGATGGATTAGTAGCTTACCATACTATTATACTGAGACAAGTTATTACGCATTTTTAACATGGGCTCGTTAGCTAGGGACGTAGAGGTAAAGTAAAAGAAAATGTAAAGTGCCCTTCCAAACCTGACGGGTCTATAGGGCAAGTGAAGTAGACTTAGCATATGAAGAGATAGTGTGGTCAGCACTATGCCCAGCCGCCTTTACTTTCCCTATCGTCAGTTA